ATCATCGACAACTGCTGCATGCAACTGGTGCGGAGGCCCTCGCAGGTACATAATGTTACACCCCCGAAGTTGCGCCATCGACACAGTGAACAATGTGGACGGCTGCTAAGTTTGCTATCTGCAACGAAAATTTTGCTTCTGCATGTAACCGGGAATGTCCTGGCTGACTCAAAGCGAAAGAACTTCACTGCGCGAAAGAGCGGAGTGACGGAGAAGAGAAACACGTTTGTAGCCTAGGATGGAGAGAGTGAAGCCTTGATAAGCGAGGAGTGCTAGGGCGACGAACTGGAAGGGAATGGGAGGCGGTGTTAATTGATTTGCCAAGTAGAGACAGGAGCTTTAAAGGAGTAGGAGCGGCATTGAGGAGGAGAACAAATAAATAAAACGAAATGAGGTTTCTTGCGGAGGCTACATTTGATACTCGGTATACCACGGTCCGAATCACGAGATCGAAGTAACTAGAAGAAAAAGAATGGGGTGGAGCACATTCGGCAGCACTCTCAAATAATTACTGGTAGATTACCACTATCCCTCAAGAGGAAGGTATATAACAGCTGCATCTCGCCGGTACTTACCAACGGAACAGAAACCTAGAAGCTTACAAAGGGGGTTGAACTTGAATTGAGGACGACGCAGTGAGCGATGGAAAGGAAAATGATAGGTGTAACCTTAAGAGACAAGAAGAGGTCTGAGTGGATTGGGGAACAAACCGGGGTTAAGGATATCATAGTTGAAATCAAGAAGAAGAAAATGGACATAGGCCGGGCATGTAGCGCGTGTAGGCAGGATAACCGCTGGTCATTAAGGGTAACTGACTGGATTCCCAGAGAAGACAAGCGAGTTAGGGGGAGACAGAAAGTCAGGTGGGCAGATAAGTTTGCGGGTATAAAGTGGCAGCAGCAAGTACAGGACAGAGTTGACTGGCAGAACATGGGAGAGGTCTTTGTCCTGCAGGGGACGTAGTCAGGCTGATGATGATGATGACCCATGGTCCGTGGGCGAGCGTCGTAACCAGTCGGCTATCCAGGCACGGTATCATGCATAACAAGCATTTATGGGAACTACATGGCTGCGTTTCTGTGGTTGAGAGAACGAGAGAAAGGCATATAGAAAGAATAAAAGACAGAAAGAGAAATAGAGATGGAGGGACAAAGTGAGAGACAAATAGATATAGAAAGGAGGAAGGAAGAAACGAAAGTAAAGATGATGAGGGCAAGGCCAGCAGTATTCGCAGCACCTGTACGTAACTGCATTTTATTCCCCCATTTAATAAAGTTTGTACTTTCCTCGGGTATCCCCCTAATGTTCCTACTGCTCTGGTACTTCGCAGTTCGATATCATGCTGGTTCCCAACTTGTACGGCAACATCCTGGTCAACATGGCGTGTGGCCTGACGGGCGGACCCGGCATCACGTCCGGTCGCAACTACGGCCGCGAGTTCGCGGTGTTCGAGACGGCCACCAGGAATACCGGGAGCTACCTGGTGGGCAAGAACCTGGCCAACCCGGCCGCCAGCCTGTTCGCCGCGGTGGACATGCTGAAGCACCTGGGGCTGCGAGACCACGCCTACCTCATCAAGGACGCCGTGGAGAAGACGCTCAACGAGGACCGGATCCACACCCAGGACCTGGGTGGCATGGCGACCACGACCGATGTGGTGGACAACGTTCTGCGTGAAGTGTCCCGCCACACGACCGTGCCCCTGGACAACAGGCCGCACTTGGAAGAGCCGCTGCGCACGCACGCGTGATGCTGGAGAAAATAGCGATTAAAAAAGGACTTGTTTTATTTAACTTGTATGAAGAGTTGCTCGATCATTCTGAGAGTTGTTTTTTTATGGCTAAGTTCATTTTCACAGGGGGGGGGGGGGGGCATGACACAATTAAGGGGAGAAAGGTGACGTCAACGCGCCTCATGACCTTGAGCGCGCGTGAGGAAACAGAATCGCGCTCTCCCGTAATTGTCATTCCTGCTCACGCTGGTGTTGCTACTGTGTGATGTGATCCGACAATGGACCGTTGCACCGGTGTCGAGAAGTGTATCCGATTCAAATGCCACACTACTTAGGTCGGCTGTTGGCCAACAGTATACGCTATCTGCTGTGCTATAACGTTGTGTGCCGCGAAGGGCAGAGTGATAGCGAGCCATACGTGCTGAATATATATATATATATATATATATATATATATATATATATATATATATATATATATATATAATGCCGCGACAGGTTGGCCACGTTCAAGTAGCCCGCCGCAATCATCGTGGCAAGAGCACAAGCAAGACCCGGCTGGATCTGCTTCAGCATCGCTACAATATATATATATATATATATATATATATATATATATATATATATATATATATATATATATATATATATATATAATGAACATATTAGAGGCCGCCCGGGCTTTTTTATGCTGTCACCACTGGTGTTACGCGCGCAAAACCACGTGTAGAACGGTGTAGGAGGTATTAACTGAGCTCTTCCCGGAAGGAGGCGCCAGTGTGCGCCGCCATAATTGTGGTCCGTCGGCGATCCGGCATATGACAGCGTGATGCTTGACGCATCACCAACCCTCTCAGCCCTGAATTTCGTGGTTGTAAAGTGAAATTTGCTGAACTTAAGTGTGCCTATTTTTTTGCCCTGTTAAGCCCGCGTAATCGTTTTGTAACTATAGCACGTAGGTAGGAACCATGCATAGTTACAGTGCCTAAAAGTCCAAAAGCAGGTTTTTGCGTTCATGATACGCAACTTCTCATTGCACGTGAATGGCCATCGTCTAATTACTGGACGCTTTCAAGATCGAACGTTAAAAAAAGATTGCCGAATTATGCTTTACAGCGCCAAATTGTTTTCGCCCATGACTGCAAGGTGATGATGATGATGATGATGATCCTTGATACTCTGGCGCACACCCACAAAGGGGGATCGGCCAAGAGCAAGCTGGACGAACTGCACTTCATCGTCGCCATCTTCTAGGTTCCTCACGCACCATTATTAGAGTGAAAAAAAAAAAACCGAATCGAAATTGATTACGTACTGTCTCGCTATTGGAGATACACTTCACTAAGCGATATGGGCAGGTTTCTCGACTGAAGTAACGAGAAATCGAGAGCTATCACAAGAGTTATATCTCCGTATTTAAATGAATGCATTCAGACCTCTGAAAACCACTGAAAGATTGTCTATTCCTGCTGGCAACGTGCTAGTCTTAGAGAAGACTCATTTTGCAAGTAGAAAGTTAAACATATTAGTAATAACACGAAAAAAATATGAGTGATACAGATACAACAGCTCAATCTCAATCAATCAATCAATCAATGTTTCTTTATTAGCATCAGAAGTGTACATTGTGAGTAAGTATGCAGGAGGAGGTCCCAAGGTAGTAAACCGCAGGCGGGACCTCCTAATGCGCAAGACATCATAATTTATTAGGTAGCGCCGAGTGTCGTATTTTTCACCTTCCGCCATCTTGCATTCCGCTTCGCTTATTTCAGAAGACGATTACGAAAAAAACTACTGCCCATGTTTTGCAGATATATTGAGGATGCTTGGAATACCTCTTTCAAATTTCTGCGTTGATTGTGCCACAATTGGCAGCAGTATTTCTTCGTGTCCTTTTTGTAGGACACTGAAGCCGGAAGGGCTAGAAAAATATCGGCACAATACGTGCTTCCGGGAACTTCGGTTGTGGTCGTACGACGGTGATGATCGCGAGCGAGACCACAAGTATGGCGACTGCCGCACTAGCGCCCCTTGCGGATGACGTCACGTGAGTACCTCTTCTAGAGTGCCCGCTCACGCCGAGGAGAACTCTTTCTCCTCTTGTTATTCGAGCGCCTTGAGGATGATATCAGTGCGAAGCATTTTAGGGCCCCGTGCTGTCGTATGCTGGCGTCGCTTGGTGTAACGCAGGTGAAAGCATGTATAAGAATAAAAGAGGAAGCAAGTGAGAAACAGAGAGAGAGAGAAAGAAGGAAAGGGAACAAAAGGGAAGGGAATAGAAATAGAGGGAAAAAAGACAGAAGAAGCGGAAAAATAAAAAAAATAAAGAGGATACCATAGAGAAACAAAGAATACTGCCAGGTTAATAGCACTAGCACACTAGCACCACCTCTTTAAAAACTGGGCTAGCAGTTATCAGAACCTGCTTTCCTTTCATTTGGAGCCTCTTCACTAGGTTACAGCCACAGGGATGTTTTATTCGCCATTCAGGAATACATCACTGAGACTAAACGATTTTCTTGCTAAATTATGGTCTCACTACTTTTCTTTTTTTCCTTCAAATTCGCAATTGGCAATTCAAATAATAATTAAGTAACTAACGTTTTTTTTAGGAATGAAGCAATGCAGAAAGTATCAGGCAAATTCACCTTATAATCGGTCAATCCCCTCCTTTGGGTGCGAGCCATGTGCAGAGGAAAACAACAACTACTACAGGCTTGGCACCACTAATGCCAAGCTGCCTTAATTTTTCGTTTTGAGTCATCCTCTGCGCATGCGTAGTTTGGACCCACTGGGCAGGGGTGTAGCCAGAATTTTTTTTCGGTGGTGGCACCTCCTTGATTTCGGCAGGGGCACGCCCTTGAAATGGTCGTTTCTCGCTCTTTACACCACGACGAAAAAAAATTGAGGGGGGACGGGGACGGGCCCGGTATTCCATCCCTTGGCTACGCCCCTTCCTCTGGGCGCCTGGCTCGCCGACCCAATAGACTAAACGCTTATCAGCCTTGGCCTCGTCGGGAGAGATCAGCCAAACAGCAAGCTTACGTATTAGAAAACACACGACAAATTTCTCTCTTCCAAGCAGCATTTCTCAACATGAACCATTATGAACATGAATATATAAGGTTTGGAGCGAGAGCAGGGAGATACGATCACTGCTCGAACACTTATTTCCCGTTTTAAATATCGCAGTTTAACTCACGTGACCACAATAACTTGTCTTCGCCCAATCGCGGATTGCCGAAGATAGAGAAGGAATCGACGAAGCCCGAGAAGTTGTCGCTGCTCTGCCTGTGGAAGCTGTTCCAAACATGTGTAAGCGGCAACGACGCGTGTTTTATCTGCCGCTCTTCGCCGATAAGTAGCGATATATCCCGAGCTTAACCGGATCATGTTATGCGCTTAGGCTGCATTTTCAGGTGGAAACGAACTCTTCTAGCTGCTTTCAACATCGCAGCGAATGCTACCAGGTATGAACCGGTTGTTTCACCGCCCGTTGGCACGAGTGACAGCGCTTTCGGATTTCTCGAAACGCAGGTGTTACTCGCACAGTCCGTCATCGAAGATGCCTCTCAAGTTCGCCGCCAACATCTCGACAATGTTCACACAGACTCCGCTGCTGACGCGCTACCGCGTAGCGCAGTCGCATGGATTCAGAGCCGTCGAATGCCAGTTTCCCTACGATGTGGGCATCGACAACATCCGCAGTGAGAAGGAGACCTGCGGAATGGAGCAGGTGCTTATCAACTCTTATCCAGGTAGTCTACCCTACGTACTTTTTGCTTGGTGGCTTGTTTAGTGTAGTTTGAAGGGCGCGAACTTGACGATGAAACTACATCGACGAAAGGGAGTACAGACGGACGCTCAACTTGCAACCGAGTCAGACTGGCAGGCAGTAATCCCGTAAACAATAATCGCACATGTGCAAGAAACAAGGTGACAGCTGTGCATGTGCCACAACCAGTATGCCTTTTGAGAAAATCGTGATAACCAACAATCAAATATAAAAGGACGTGCTTATATAACCAAATATGAAAACGCAAACTTGTCCAACAGTTCTCACTTTCACAGCCTGCTATATACCCAACTAAGCATCGATGAGCCTCGTAGTCCGACTTGGTGGGGCGGCTGGTGCTAGCCACTGGTGTGAAAAAGCCGTCAGGCCACTGATAATAACAATTATGAGCCCGTGATAATAACAACTGTTGGTGTTTTACATCCTAAAACCATGACATGATTATGAGGGAGCCGTAATGAAGGGATCCGTGAGTATCGACCACCTTAATGTTCACCTATATCTAAGTACATGTGCCTCAACCATATCACCTCCATCGAAATGCAGCCAAGATTCAATCCCGCGACCTACAGGTCACCATTCAAGCACCACGATGACTAGAACACCACAGTGGGCCTAGTCAAGCCCATTGACCAGTGCTCCACCATTGGTCGGTTGTATTGTGCTGCAAAAGATATGAAAGCCTTGTGTGCACTTACACGTTTGTTGACTTCTTTGTGAGGCTGTTCTCTCAATAAGAAGCCATATGACCTTTTCATTTTCACCATGCATCACTTAGACTGTTGTGCGGACACGATGTTACTGATAGTTCACCAAGTGAAAAATCTTTGTGTGGCATGAGTTGAAATTATCCTTTGAATATGTGTGTTCTTTCAAGAGTTTGGCTTACTGATATGCCCTTGAAGTCACATGCATGTACATGCCATAAAGAAAGACTTGCCATCAGCTGCTTTGAATGTTCTTCAGCAGGATATTTACTTGAGAACTCACACCTGCCAATGTCATTTTTCCTTGCGGCTGTGATTTTCTTTAGAAAACATGCCGTTAGAGTTTATCGTGGTTTCAACCAAAAATCTTTGTGTTTGTGTTACATGTGGACAGTTAGTCCATAGCATACAATGAAGCTTTCAGCAACTCTTTTGCATCTTTCTGCTGTCGTGCCCAGTCCTTTAGGTTATGAGTACGGCTTGTGTGTTGCCTAGTGTGAATGCAACTTCGTATGCTTGTTGCACCAAAAACCTGCTGCAACTTCGCAAAGGGAAATTGCCTTTCTCACATTCTTGTGGCTTCCAGGTGACTTGCCTAAAGGCGAGTTGGGCTTTGCTGCAAAGCCAGGTCTTGAATCAGAATTTCTCAGCAGCTTGGAGACTTCGATAAAGTATGCCAAGGCCTTGGACTGCAAGAAGTATGGATTTTACATTTGGTTCTCAGTGTATACCAAGCTGTTCATGGCACCATGTGTTTTAACACTGATTAGAAATCGACACAACTGTATGAAGGCAGCAGATAATGAAGCCATGGAAACCGTAGAGAACATTTGCCATTTCTATATTGAGGTGTAGTAACTACAAAGTGAAAAGAAATAAGGGTAGGCCCCCCCCCCCCCCAAAAAAAAAAAACAATTTGCTACAGGTAGGAACAAAAAAACGGCTACCTCCGTATTGAGTGTGCAGTACACTGGGTGTTGGATAGATATAACTATGCGTAACTCAGAGCCACGCTATGCCATAGCAATTAATATAGAAATCTTTTTGCACGATGTATTGAATACTACAATGTGAACTTATAGGAGCAGGCAGCTGACTGGTATTTTATTGTTTACAACCTAAACTCACAGCTCATAAATAAAACAGCGTAGCTGCAGGCTGACAAAGCAGTTCGCTTGTCTCAACTGTAGACGGCACATCGGACGTTTACACTCCACAATGTGAGCTGCCACCTGATGTTGTGGTTTTCTTTATAAAGTGCAGCTTTTTTTAGGCTTGAACAAAGCTGTGTGCAGCCAGCATCAAGGAACATTCAATTTAGATAACCCATTTTCCATTGACCTCTTCATGTAGGGGCACCCGAATTATGTTCTGTATCCCAAAAAGTGCTCGTCACCTACACAAACTTTCAAAACGAATTATTGTAAAACAAAGCCTTAGTTTCATTAGAGATCGGCTTGGCCTTCAAGGCTGTGTGAGACGAAAGCCTTATGTGTGCTGCAGTGGTCTTGGAGTGCCTGTTTTAATACCAGTCCTGTATCCGTCATCTCCACTTGTTGACATATGCCTGTTTTTTTTTTTTTCTTAAGGATACATATTATGGCAGGAATCACTGGCACAGAGCGCAGCAGCATTATGGAGGAAACATACCTCGCAAACTTGACCAAAGCAGCCGGTCTGCTTGAAAAGGTAATGCATTGATTTGATGATGATAGTTTGGTATTACCGATGGAATTGTGTTCGTTGCTTTCCAGGAAGGAATTGTAGGCGTCATAGAGCCCCTGTGCAAGCAGGTTAAACCGGGATATTTTCTCAACAGCTATGAACAAGGTATATGCTGAACGTTGCATGCTTTGTTCGTGTGCTTTATCTCCATGCAACTGCACGTTTCTTTCAGCTGCACGTTATGTCACACAGCTGAACCACAAGAACTTGCGGCTACTCCTGGTATATTTGACATCTCTACCTCGTTGGTCGTGTGGAATTCTAAGCAAATGAACTTTTGTTTCAGGATGTATTCCACCTTCAGATGAGCTCTGGCGATCTGACCAACACTATTGCGAGTGTGTACCCACTTGTAGGTACGTGAAGTGAAACGCCCGCGAGTTCTTCGTCTTGGTTGAAGTGACAAAATTTTGTTTCGTGCTTTGCCACAGGTCACATACAAGTTTCCCAGGCTCCACGCAGGGATGAGCTTAATGCGCCTGGTGAAATAAATTATAAATATATCCTCCACCTACTTGAAGAGCTCAGCTACGATGACTGGATAGGCCTCGAGTACACGCCATCTGGTGAGAAATTGATGTTCCTTCTTAACCTCTGTGATGAGAAATTGCTTAGTATGGAATGTTGCATGAGCAGCGTTCCAACAAGGACTTACCTTGTTAAGGGCCAAGTCTTTTGTGATGAAGTCTTCCTGCAGAAATGTCTCTGGCGACATTGCCTGTTCAACTTGAAATAACCCTAAAGGGCACTGACACGAAAAATTTCTGTTGCCTCTTTATTTTGTTCGTCAAATGAAAGGCCAAGCCCTGAATAGTCTATAAAATGTAGTGTTCAGTGCGAGTGCACATTGAAAATAACTATACAACATGTTTTTAACAGCTAGTTTCAGTTTCTAGTGTATCCGGACGTCACAACGCAACATGAGTTTTTTGTCACGTGCTCGTGCAGCATATCATGGTTAGTACACTTTGTAGCTCTAAATGTTTTGGTAGCTGACGTCACAACTAGGTACACTAAAGCGTAAAGTTGCCAGAATTGACACTGTACCTTGACGTTGTAATAGTGTTGATGTCAGTAGGTGCAGCTTGCGAAACCTAAACTGGAGTATTATATCTTATGAGCATTTACCGACCTTGACACTTTCCCAGATGTGTCTGTGTACAGCAGATTTGCGTGGTTCAGTAAACTCATCTTCAGAAATTGATGTCGGTATCCTTTTAACTTGTGTCAGATTTTGATTCCTAACCTCTGGTATCTCTTAGAATTCTGGCATGATGTATTATTGTCTTTGACATATGCTGTCTTACTTTTCAGGGCAAAGTGGCGATGGAATTTCGTGGATTAAAGACTATGGCTATAGCCTGTGAACAATTTCAGGAATGTGAGAGTTAAGATAAATAAAATATTTTTTGATTATAGAGAGCACAGCTAGTTGATACATATTCATTCTGAAAAAAGACTGGACGTGCAAACACTGGACAGACACATGAGGGAAGTCAGGACAACACAAACAGGTGTGCAAACACCACTGAGAGTGTTTGCATGCTGGGTTGCCCTGTTTCTTTTAGAATGAAATATTTTTATGTAATTGGATGAATATACACATCTATTAAAGTCGATATATTGGTATATGCTTTGTGTCAGTTCCAGAGATCGCCTTATGATAAGCTTCAAAGTATGACCTGTACGACTGCCGCTTGGTCAGCCTATTTTAGCACTTTTAACAGTATAATGGTTCTGGAGTAAAAATACTGACAGCTGTTCATTATGGTATTACTTTCATATGCAGTGTTGTAGGACTTGAGCTTTTAAAAAGTCCCTGCAACATCTTTTTTAGCATGATATCAGTAGCGGAGGCTCATTATAACACATGAACGAAGCGTTATAGTGCAGCACGCAGCCTGGACTTCGCAATTAATTTTTAATGTCGCCTCAAAATCGCGCCCTCCTCTCTACAAATGATGCCATATACCCAAATTACTGTGTTATATACCCAACGTCTACGGTCTTTGGCTGTTTTTGAGCGCCATAAGCTGCACTGTGGCCACTGCAAAATGCTGCCTCGTGCTGGTGCGCTCACCCTGAAAGTAAGCCGCACGTTCAAAGAAAAAAATGACAAGAAAGTGCTCCATCTCGTGGCACGCACTGATGAAGGGTGACGTCTCCTTACCTCACTGTCATTCTCCTCCCTGCGTAGCTATCAGCGTGCTTTCTAGTACAAAAGAGGAGAGAAACCGCTTGAAGCATGTGGCAAATCTCTGCAACTCCGCACGTACTTGGAAGACTCTAAACATTTTTGTGGCACTCGATTCATGAGGCAGTAAGCACTTTTATTGAAGCCATACCATTACCGAAAAAAGTGTTGCATGGCTCCTTTAAGCCGATTCCTTGCTTCATTGAGTTTTGTTCACTAACGTCATTCTTATAATGCCAGCTATATATAAAACTTGGTGGAGTTTCTTATCTGTAGTGCCTCCAGTTTGTTCAGTTAACTTCCTAGTTAACTGAACATCCAGTAGTAATGCTATGAATGTGAATTGTGCTGTGTTGCTTATTTGTTTAGTAACAATCATCCCTTTGTGCCGACCATATAGCCGAGAGGCTATGGTAGCCGCTTGTAAAAATCGGGGGGGGGGGGGGGGTAGGGGGTTGAAGTTTGTAAGTTATATATTATTTATGTGTAGAAGCACATTTTCAAAGAACATAATGTCAGGGTTATTTTAAGGACGTAGCCAGTTTTGAAGTTCAGCAAGCAAGTTTTCTGGTAGCATACTTTGTGTCGTTTTCTGCTGTAGAGCAGGACAGGTCCTAAGGTTGGTAGTTCTGTGCTGGTAATTTGCAGACTGTCGCTCTGTTGAGCATTACATCTATGTGTACGTGCCATACTTGTTTCTTCCTTGAACAATTGCCAACTGCTATCTAGTAAGGACAAAGTTAAACTGACCTTGGAGCAGTGATTGTATCTAATAAGGTACTTGTCAATATGCATTGTCAGTGGATCGTTAACATATAACGAACAGGCAGCAATGCTGTTACATTGATCATCAGCTGATAACTTGTCAGCACCAATATGATTTAGAGGAAAAAGCAAATAAAATCATCAGCAATGGTTGTGTTGCTACGCAGTATACAATGAGGTATGTTACTGTATGAGTGATTGATCGATATGTGGGGTTTTAAGTCCCAAAACCACCATTAGATTATGAGAGACGTCTTAGTGGAGGGCTCCGGAAATTTCAACCACGTGGGTGCACCCAAATCTGAGCACACGCTGTACGAGTGCGTCGTCTCATGGCAGCTACAGGGCAGCTGTATCACAGGATTTGGCAAAATGTGGATTGTCTCATCGCGTCTGATCCTGGCTAGTTTAAGCGTGGTTGCAGGGCACATTGTAGCGCTGTTACAAGCGCCTATGCGATTGCAGCAAGTCAATTTCCCACAAAACACCCTGGTTCATATTGTCACGCAGCAAAGGACGACGCAGTTGTCTATAAGGAAAACAAGTTTATTGGAGCGAACCTGTGCTCCCCTAACAACTGAAAGAATACACAGGCGGCGAAGCAGCGGCCGGCAAAACGACGGGCACGCTAGTGAGCGTCGGCGATCGAATGTCGCGGCATCGGCTGTGCGGGAATTTATATCCCTCGGCACGAGGGTTTCTCGAATAGTCGAATTGTATCGAGAACGCCGTGATAGCGTTTGTTCGAAGCGCTGTTCGATAGCGTTTGTTCGAAATGCTGTGAAAACAGTGATAGCACAGGCCGGTGCAGCCAGGCCGAAAAAACAAAACACAAATAAACAAACCCAATGCATGGTCTGCGGCATTACCCCCCCTCTAAGAGTGCATCGACCCGATGCTAACATAAGGGACAGTCCAAACAAATTAAAATAAAAGTTCGTCATCGTCCGTAGAAAGGTTTTAAGCGAACCACATGGACGACTTCGGGCCGCGTGCGTCGTCGTGATGTACGGGAGTCACCATCGGGGATCACTTCGTACGTTAGTTCGCCAACAGGTCGTAGAATCCGGTAGGGTCCGAAATAGCGTGGTAGAAGTTTCTCACTAAGTCCATGTCGTCAAATGGGAGTCCAAACCCACACACGATCTCCAGGATGGTACTCGGCGTCTCGGCGTCGGAGATTGTAGCGTTTGGCATCCACCAGTTGCTGGTCCGTTATACGAACTCGAGCGAGCTGGCGGGCCTCCTCCGCACGTTGGAGGTATCCTTGGACGTCGGCATTGAGGTCGTCGGCATTGAGGTCGTCGTCTTCTACGTGCGGAAGCATGGCGTCGAGCATCGTAGTCGGCCGTCTTCCGTAGACGAGCTCGAACGGTGTCATCTGCGTGGTTTCTTGGATAGCCGTGTTGTACGCAAACGTGACGTACGGGAGGACTTCGTCCCACGTCTTATGTTCAACGTCGATATACATAGACAGCATATCCGCGATTGTCTTATTCAGCCGTTCCGTTAGTCCGTTCGTTTGGGGGTGGTACGCCGTCGTTCTTCGGTGATCTCTGTTGCTGTAACGTAAGATTCCTTGCATGAGCTCCGCAGTGAAGGTCGTTCCGCGGTCCGTGATTAGGACCTCAGGGGCTCCATGTCGCAGCATAATTTGGTTAATAAAGAACTTTGTAACTTCTTGTGCAGTTCCCCTAGGAAGAGCGGTGGTCTCTGCGTAGCGCGTCATGTAGTCTGTCGCTACGACAATCCATTTGTTTGCGGATCGGGATGTAGGGAACGGGCCCAGAAGGTCCATTCCGATCTGTTGGAAGGGCCTCGTTGGGACGGCGATCGGCTGCAGAAGTCCGGCGGGTCTCGTCGGTGGTGTTTTTCGTCGCTGGCAGTCACGGCAGCTCCGGACGTAGTGGGTGACAGCGGATGTAAGGCGGGGCCAGAAGTATTTCGCCTTGATTTTTGTAATCGTGCGAGCTGTTCCGAGATGTCTGGAAGACGGGTCGTCGTGGCACGCTTCCAAAATATCGTCACGAAGGTCTGCGGGGATGACAAGTAGATAATTCGTTCTCGTTCCGGGGTTGAAATTCTTCTTCACTAGGATGGAGTTTTTGAGGCTGAATGCTGGTAAGTTGCGCTTGAACGCCCTAGGCACGGCGACGTTGCGTCCTTCGAGGTAGTCGATCATGGCGCGGAGGTCAGGGTCGGCATGCTGCTGGGCGGCTAGGTCGCTCTCTGTCACGACTCCGAAGAACGCGCTGTCTTCATCGGAGTCCTGTGGTGGTGGGTCGACGGGGGCGCGGGACAGGCAGTCGGCGTCGGAGTGTTTCCTGCCGGATTTGTAAAATATTGTAACGTCGAACTCTTGCAGGCGCAAGCTCCACCGCCCAAGACGGCCAGAGGGGTCCTTCAAATTGGCGAGCCAACACAGCGCATGATGGTCTGTCACAACCTTAAACGGTCTACCATAAACGCATGGGCGAAATTTTGAAATGGCCCATATGATAGCCAGGCACTCTTTCTCGGAGGCAGAGTAGTTTCTCTCCTCCTTCGACAGACCACGGCTTGCATAGGCGATTACCTTTTCGTAACCGCTTTGCTTTTGGACGAGGACGGCACCCAAACCGATATCACTGGCGTCCGTGTGCATTTCCGTTTCGGCGTTTTCGTCGAAATGAGCGAGCACGGGCGGGTTTTGCAGGCGTTGTTGCAGCTCGCAGAATGCCTTTTCTTGGTCGTTTTCCCAGCTGAAAGGGGTGCTTTCTTTCGTCAGGCGCGTGAGTGGCTCTGCAATGCGTGCGAAGTTTGCGACGAAGCGCCGATAGTATGCGCACAGTCCGAGAAACCTTCGTACACCCTTCTTATCTTTCGACCTTGGGAAGTTCGCAATGGCTGATGTTTTTGCCGGGTCAGGTAGGACTCCCGCGGCGTTCACGACATGACCCAAGAACTTGAGTTCCTCGTACGCGAAACGGCACTTCTCAGGCTTCAGCGTTAACCCCGACGTACGAATGGCCTCGAGTACAGATTCCAACTATGTGAGGTGTTCGTCGAAAGTCCGGGCGAATACGACAACGTCGTCGAGGTATACGAGGCAAGTGTGCCACTTCAGGCCTGCTAGCACAGTGTCCATGACTCTCTGAAACGTTGCGGGCGCCGTGCACAGCCCAAACGGCATCACTTTGAACTCGTATAGACCGTCCGGGGTTATAAATGCAGTCTTCTCTCGGTCTCTCTCGTCCACTTCAATTTGCCAGTAGCCGGTCTTCAGATCCATGGATGAGAAGTACTTGGCGTGGCAGAGGTGGTCGAGGGCGTCGTTGATTCGTGGCAGGGGGTACACGTCCTTTTTGGTGATTTTGTTTAGTCTCCGGTAGTCAACGCAGAATCTTAAAGTGCCATCTTTTTTTTTTTTTTCACGAGTACAACCGGCGCAGCCCACAGACTTTTCGATGGCTGTATTATGTCGTCGCT